GGAGCCTGTAGCGTCATATTTAGCCACTGTTTTGTAAGTGACTGTGGAATTTGCTGTTGGTTGTGTGTCTTTAGTGTTGCAGTGAAGGATGGAGCGGAGGGTACGACCACCAGAAAAAAAAAAACACATCTTCTTTGCAGTAATGTGCTTAGCTGCAAAATTAGGCTTACATACATCTAATGACACAATATGAACATAATTCTATTTGTCAAAAGATGTTACATTGATTTAGTTTTAATTGTATTACTGCTTTGTCTCATGATGTGGAGGTTCCCCTGTTTATTTGAAGGACTAGACTTGACCCTTAATCCATAAATCATGACAAACTGTATTAAACTTCTCCATATGACAAGGGAATTTAACCCCAAACAAGACATGAACATGAACGTTACATTTGCTCTTGTAGTGCAGTCATACTGTGGATTCTGTTCTGGAACAGCAAGTCCTGTTATTTCAACCACCTCTCCACATGTAAACAATTCAGTGATTGTGGCATGTTATCAAACTAGAATTGTTATAAAATACATAAGTGAGGAGTAAATGTGAGAGTTTGGATCAGCAGCATGTAGAAGCTTGTCTTTCTCATTGTGCTGGCAGGCAAATACCAGAACACACCAGGTCTATATGAAGTGTAGCTGACATGGACAGAGAACTAATTGCATTTGTAGCCAGTTTGCACTTTCAAAGAAAAAAAGCCAATTTGGTTGCATGCTTTTGCTAAGGAACCTGTGAGATTTAGTAAAGCTGGAATGATTAGTCAACCACTTAATTAGCTGGTTAACAGGAAGCTAATTAGTAATTCTTTTCATAACCAGTCATTTTTAAGCAAAGTCTTGACTGGTCCCAACTTCTAATATGTGAAATTTGGAATATCTTTGGTTGTCAGACTGTTGAGACTGACATTTGAATTGTAACCAGGAGCTTTGAGAACTTGTGATGAACATTTACTAGATGATTAACTGAGAAAACAGTTGGTGAATCAGTGATGAAAATAGTGGTTAGTTGCAGCCTAAATCTCTGAACTATGGATACAAGTGTCTTGATAATCCTAAAAGTAGAGTAAACCATGCTCTGTGCATGACGCAGAGGCATCCGTGGACCTTACAAGAGTGAAGAGCTGTAACACTAACACGCAAAACACTTGTAAAGTCCTTCTCTTGGTACAAACAGTTCAGATGGGCACATTGTAAGGTCACATCTGTACAAAACGTCATACTGCCCATAACTGCATTGCTAATTACTGGGAGCTTTGTAGATGCAGTTTAGAGTTGTTTATTATTATTATATTTGCATATAAAATGAATTCCAGGAGTCAGTCTGGGTTGTTTACAGAAACAGGAAACAAGGGTTTAAATTAGATTTTAGATCTTTGATTTTCAAAAAAATGTATTTATTTATTTTTCATGTCTAACTTGCTGCATAAGCTGTAAACAAACGATTTGCCACTCCGAAAGTGAGCTGTTTGTGTGGTTACAGAGCAGGTAAAAGACATTATGAGGCCTCTGACTGTTTCTAAAAGAGAAAAGGGGGGGGAAAGAGGTGTAGAATTTATCATGTCAGTTGACTCCAAAGCCTTTGGCTTTAATGAGGATCAGAGTACAGCGTTTCTGCCACTGAAAAAAATTCTGAGGTCCCTCAGAAGCTCTTTCTGCTTAATTTGATGCAATCCTGATAAATGGAGACAGCAGAAATGTGTGTGATAGATAGATATAAATCAAATAAGATGATGAGTGGTAGTAAATGTGAGAATTGTTCTTTTAACCATCTAACACCCAGATGTAGTTAGTGATGTTTGTTTACAGTAAACCTTCCACAGATATGTTTTTGGAATGACTAAACATTTAATGGACCTATTAGAGTCATCAGAGCTGACAAAACTTTCTCCACTTTGATCCGTGTGCTGTCATCCAGGACCATTTTATAGTATAGTAAGGAATAAAACCAAACTACAGACTTATCCAGGCAACCGAACTCAAACTGAAAAACAAAAACCAAGCAAATTTTTTGATTAGGTGAAAATATAGTCACTGGCAAATACTGTAGGATGGTTAATTTCCCAAGAGCACATGAAGTGAATTTCTAATATCCACTGTGATTGTACCAGCATGGGAGTAAATTAGTTCTTTGCTGAAAGTGAAGAATTACAGCAAGATAATCAAGCTACCTACTCCTCCTCAGCTGATCACATGATTAAACACATGTAAAGCAGGAATAACCAGATAGAAGGTTTACCATACACCTGCTATATGATTATCTGTGGGAAATCCCCAATAATACAGTATACATGTAAGATGAACAATTGCCTAAAGCATTTCCAACACATGGGGCAGTGGATAGCGCTGCCACCTCACAGCAAGAAGATTCAGTGGTTCGAGCCCTGGCCAACCCAGGGCCTTCGTGTGCAGCGTTTGTATGTTCTCCCTGTAACTGCGTGGGTTCTCGGCTTCCTCCCGCAGTCCAGAGATGTGCCGCTTAGGTAGATTGCTAACTCTAAATTGCCCGTGAGTGTGTGTGTGGTTGCTTGTCTAAATATCAGCCCTGTGATGGACCGGCGGTGCATCCTGCTAATCGTCCAATGTAAACTGGGATTGGCTCCAGCTTACTGCTTTTGAGGCAACATTTTTAACAACTATGTTGATCTGTTTTTCTTATATTTTTTTTAATGAAAAAATGTGTCATCTTATGCAGCAGTGTTAATTGTTCTTGAACAATAATGATGCTGTATGGGACAGATGAATAAGATATGATTGGAGACTGACAGACTAACTCAGTAGTGGTAAATTATTGCTGGTTTTAGTCTCTGGAGAGTCTTGAAAATACTATTAATGTAGAAAATGACTGACTCTATCCTTTGACTGAATTAAATATTTAAGTCAGCTTGATAGATGACAAAAATACATCTAAACAACATTTGGCATGTTTTTTTCCTAACATTGCTGCATCATGTAGCTAAAAATCTGCCTCTGTAAACAATAAAGAGGAACTTGATGCTTAGATTTCATTCATCTGCTAGTGTTTTCTGAGTAGTTGTTTACCTCGTCCTCTGTCTCCTCTGGTTACCTCTGCCCTCAGACTGAGACTGTCCTGCTCTCAGAAGAAGTCTGTGCCGTCTGCGTCACCTTGCAGACAAGACCCTATCAATATTGCCTCTGCTTTCACTAGATTTAACAGAGTAGTGCAATATTGCTTATAGGGTCTTGACTCTGAGGGATGGTCTTCCTCCAGTGGTGTGGTTTGTAGCTGATGTCACAAAGGCAACATTCTGCCGCGCTGCCCCTAGCCACAGATCTCACTGATGATATGTATACAGTACAGTGTGATGGAAGCTTCAACATCGTGGCTTAGTGAAATGCTGTCTTCATTGTGTTCATCCAGTAAATGTTTTTGCTAATGAAGTCATTTGAACTCTCAATTTAAAGAGCGG